AGTAAAAGTGCCAGCCTGGGGCTCCTGGACAACTCCCCAGTAGCTCTCTACACAGTTCTGCATTATCACAAGTGCAAGATCATTGGAAATCTGGGTGGAGCACTGCCTAGTGATTATTCCACATCTCACATAGCAGCAATTCTCAGACAAGTCACAAACATGGCAAACCATATGTGCAATGCAGGCAAGTTAAGAATATTAGAGGAATTTTAACTTTCGCATTTCCTGACTGCGGAGTTTTTACAATTTTAAACATAATACAAAACAGATTCTACTACACTATATTTGGCATTTGCAATGTGAAGGAAACACCTGCTTAGCCTTCTCCATTGGAGGAGGTTAGCAGATGTCTGGAATGGCAAGGGCACTTGTCGAGTCTCATAAAATTAAGTTTGATGTATCCTACAAAAACTAGAAGGAATGGAGATTTCTGTAAGCTTTAGTGGCAAAGTCAGCCAAATGTAGTAGCTGCAGCTAAAAAGTCCAATCCTGAAATTTCTCCACACTTAGAATGCATGCTGACATCAGTGGGATCATCAGACACAGACGGCTTGCAAGACTCAGCTTAAAAAATGATGTCCGTTTTACTAAAATGTTGTTTTACTAGATGCAAGTGGTAATAGCAGCAGTTCCCTTTGCACTGGAAATTGCAGAGTACAAGCAGCTCATCATGAACCCAGCACTTTCCATTCAACATGAGAAGCATAAAGGGACCATATTGATATTATTCACATTTTTTTAATCAGTACTTTTCTGTCCTGCAAGCCACCTAGAGGGTTTCAGAGAAGTGTTGGGTAAATAGCGGGGCTATGCAAAATAGTCACATTGAAATCTGAAGTCTTAAACATATCATGGATTCACCTTTTGGTTCAAGCTAAGGAAAATGGTCCAATTTTGTGGGGAGGGGAACTTTTAAATCTCAAACATTTTGCTCAATAAATGGAACCTCTGTGGAGCAAAACCAGGTTCATTTTCACTCAGTAAAGGGTCTTAGTTTGTCCTATTTTCAAGCAAAGACTCTGCATTTTTAATTTTAAAATTGCTGTTCATATATAGGCTGATTTATGCATCAAAAAAGCAAAAAAGTATGTCTGGGGCATTTTATGGAATATTTCCCATTCTGAGAAAATTTTATATAATTTCTGGGTCATAAAGTTGACCCAGAATGGAATGGCAATTCTTCCACAATGAAATTTAGTACACACTTTTTTCATCATTGTCTTATAACTCTGGTGAATTTCATAACACTTGCCAGTAATTTTATACCGATTCTGTTTATTATATTCAATAGCTTGATAATTCCTGGCAACTGTAAAGCTGAGTTTTAATAGCACTGATTTTTTCCCTCCATTACTGGTAGGTCTGAGCATTGCTCAAAGATAAGGATTCAAGTAAATGCATTTAAAATACCATACTTATCCTGCATTTGCATAAAAATATCAAAGCGATTTAAGTAGCAACAACACTTCACTAACCCAAACTATATAACCTCATTTACTTCTTCAGTTAAAAACACTGCGGGCAACCTCATTTCAAAAGCAAGTCTTCACATACTGCAGAGGCATTGTAAGGATTTTTAATAGAAGAAATGTTATCAATCAAATCTTTTTAGACATATGCTACTTTTGTGTGTGGGGAAAAATAAACACAACTTCCTATGATTTTTTTTCTACTTACACCACGCACTAACCAGCTATAGCATTTCACAGCTCACTGAGCCTCTTTCTAATAGAAATATTTCAAGAGGAATCAGAAGCCCATCAAAGCATGATAGGTGCAAAAGAAACTCCCAGCTGATATTCTGCTATGAAATATTTTCATCTACTTCTTAAAGTCCAGCAACAAACATTTTATTCTGACCTGGTATGTTACCTATTAGATGAACAGGGGTATAATTAAGTTTCCTCAATTTCATTTTTAAGGAGAGGAGGCACTATTGTTCTCTAGTTTGTTGCATTAAGCTGTTCTTCCTGGAATTCTGCGGCACAACTTGGGGGAATATGCCATGCAACAGCTGGAAGGAATAGCTTTAAAGTATAAGCATCAGGTTTGAAATACCCAGACTTCTTAGCATTAGGAGTTTAAATCACAGCAGGTTCAACTCAGACAGTCATCCTTCTACTCATCCTGAGTTCCAAGCAGGTAATCATGTGGAAGTCAAATGGCACTTAATGTGTCAGCTGTAGCAGCTGCCCCCTAGAGGGTGACATTTGCACCGCCACTCTCCCCTTACATCAAGAAAGGACTATTAGCGTGCCTCCCACAAATCCTCACCAAATTACCTTTCTGGATGTTTTCGCCTCTGCCATCCATGTCCAGGCTGCACCCCTTTGACTGACCAGGTACATTTCAGCTGCCCACAAGCAGTGCTACCTTGTACATGATCAGTGTTTTAATCTGTGGATCACTAGGTGTCCCACACTTTTAAACAATTTAATTTTCCCATCTAATAGCACATCAAAATAAAAAATCTCATTCTCCTTTCATACATTTGATTTTCTTTGTGTATGTCCTATCAGTGTCACATTTCAGGAGAATGAAGCAGTAAAGAGCTTAATCTGGATTCCTGTTTGAAGGGATTATTTGTTTAAGGGGTTCCCTGTAAGGTTTCAGAGGATTCATTTTTCTTTTTGAACAATAGCTGCATTTTGTCTGGACAAGCAATTTTGTCTGGGAAGCAAGAGAGTTTTGAGATTGCAGGTTTTCAGGAATCAGAAATACTAACAGAGGCAAATAGTTTCTTCTCCTATCCATCCTTCCTGGGCATTACCCACTGGGTGGAGGCTGCCTTTCTGTGGCAGAATGCAGTGTGAAATGTGTATTACATCTTGCATTCTGTTACTCTAACTTTACAAGGCCACGTGATCTCCCACCCCCCACCATACCAGAATAGGAATGCCACGTTCAAATGCACCAGTGGCCAAACCTGAAATGCTTAGCCGGGGGATGAGGTACTGTATGTACTGTTTTTGGCAGAATTACATACAGCCAATTCACCTTTTTGCAATATGCTAGTCAAATTATACTTCTTCATGTGGAAACCTTTCAGGAAATAAGTCTCAAGAGGAACAAATAATTATAACCCTAATACAATATATAATGTGAATGAAAATATTTTATTTCCCAGATTTTAAAATAAAAAAAAAACCCAAGCTCAGACTCTTTGAATGCCAGTGATATTGTCAGAATATAACGTACCATGTTCTCAAATTGTAATTCAATGTCTATTTGATATTCCACAAATCTCTCCATTTATCACAACAGTAATACAAAGTATTTTTAATTTAAATACCACTTTTAACAGGCAAAGTGTTAATTAGCTTCCACAACACCCCTGCAAAATAGAGTTATGCATTATTCCCATTTGACAGATGGGAAAACTGAGGCACAAGGATGCCGTGACTTGCCAATGTCAACCAATGGCAGTTAGGATTAGATCTCGGAATTATCTAACTTGCAATTCCTCACTCATCCACACACTTGCAGTTCCACAGTCTTCAGGCCATATTGCGTCCCAAAAGACAGATAGGAAATAAGTGAAAGGGCAAATTAATACAATTTCCAAATTTAAAACTAAACAGATATTGTTTCTCCGTGAGAGGATTGGTCTAGGGATCTGTGTAACATGTCAGGAGACAGGAAGTTCTGAGATCTAACCCAGCTGTGGCAGTGACTCCTTTTACAACAGTGGGCAAATCAATTTCTCTCTTTGCCTCAGTTTCCCCATCTGTAAAAATAAGGATGCTAGTTCTTATTTGCCTTGCATGCCTGTGTTGAGACTACTAATGTTTTCCAAATATTCTGAAGGTGAAAAGGCTAAAAAACTATTAATAAGACAGCATGATACCAATAAGGCAGTTTGCTACAAATATGTAATTAGTTCATTCTCACCCAACTGCAGGAGCAGTGGGCAGGATTTTAATCTCAGCTATACCAGCATCAACCTGGAGAAATACCACTGATTTCAATTAGAAACATCTCTGCAATACTGGGATGGAATCTATCATTATTCATCTGCAAAGCTGGGGTCCAATCCTGCATTCCTTCCACATCCAAACCTCCCATTGGTTTCAGTGGGAGGTAGAACTGCACCCTTAATAGTGAAAAATCTACCAGGCACAGCCCTGCCTCTTTCACGGGTTAACTGAAGGACAGCGAATAAAGAAGGCACCTCTTCCTTCTGTTTCCCTTCAAGACAAATCCCAGATGTTTGAACACTTTAAACCCACTCCGCTTCCGCTCACTGTTGATTCAGCAGAAACTACTGCTGCAGAATTAATAATAACTAAATGGACACCCATTGCATTCTGAACGCGTGTGTCGGAACCTGGCTGGCTGCTGTCAGCCCTTCCCTTTGACACGATTTATTCATCACACATCAGCAGTTTTTTGGGAGCTTCGGTTGCTTGGGGTTTTTTACGGTCCTCTGGATGCGTGACATAATCCTGACGGGGAATGAACGGGCAGGAACTGAAGCCCTGCCCTGTGGCAACCATGAGCTAAATTTCGTTTTGTAACGTGGCACCATGAAAGCCAAAAAGGGTTCGAGGGAGGCTGATGACATCTGGGAGCGGGCAGGCGAGGCGGACACCGAAAGAGGTGAGCAGAGCCGAATCCCAGTGGCGCTCAGCCGGTGTGTGACTCAGAGGGTAGGGCACAGCTTCGGCCCTGCCCACACCCCCACACGGCCCCGCTGGCCTTTCCCGAAGGGAGGTGCTGTCCGGATCCACCTGCTGCTCCATGCCCAAGCCCTCCTCACTCCCACGGTGGCAATCCGCTGCCATTCCAGCGACACCCTCTGGCCCTTTCCGTGCCATGGCGACAAGCTCTGCTTACACCCATGCCTTCCCCCGGGGCCGTGCCTTTTAGATGCGGAGGCCGAGCTGCCGCCGGATCTGCCCTGGGTCTAAGTGGAGCCCCGCCAAGGCATCGCCCCCCCCCGCCCCCGCCCCAGCGGAATGCGGCTCTCCGCGCAGGGGGGCGCCTCAGCCTGCAATTACCTTCTGTTGCATAGCTGTGGTCGCGCAGGAAACTGTTGTTTATCTTGCGGGTATCAATGTCCTCCTCCATTTACAGCAGGCTTACTTTCGTGAGCAGGGAGAACAAGCAGGCAAGTATCCATCATCGCCCCAGCACGGCCAGGCTCAGCGGAGAGGAGGGCAGGGGAGTTGCATCGAGCACAGCATCGTCCTACCCTACGGGGGAGAGGGGGAGGTACCACCCCAGCAAGCTTCCACCTCCTCCTGCTGCAGCAAAGGTCCAGATCTCCTTCTCCGCCCAGGGACGGTGCAAACCCCGGGCTCCTACACCACCCCGGGGGGCGGTTGCGGTTGCAGCACCAGTTCCAAATTCCCTCCTCCTCCTCCTCGCAGGGACGGCGGCGGCGGCTGCAGCCGGGCGAATTGCAGTGCGGCTGCCGCAAGCCCCCGTTCCAGTGCGAAGTGCCGCAGCTGGGCTGGGCTGCGAGCGCTGCTCTGGCGGTGCCCAACAGGTTCCCCTGGCGCCGGGCGAGCGCCCTTCCGCATGCAGCAGCCCCCGGCTCGCCCAGTCAGGAAGCCGCTAGCCACAAAATGGTGTCCGCTTCTGCAAAGCTCGCGGCCCCGGGGTTTTTTTTGGGGGGGGGGGAAAGGGGGTAACCTTGCAGAGCTGCGGCCCTGCTGGGTGTTTCCCTAGCGGGGCAAGGCTGGCGGCTGGGTCGGCAGGCGCCGCGGGGTTCGCAGCCGCGGGCTCAAGGAGAGGGGCCACTGCAGGAGGCGGCTGAAGAGAAGCTCGTGCGGCGGCGGCTGTTGGCTGCTGGAGCCTTATGGTGCATTAAAGCCCAAGCTCCTCCCATACAGCTCGGCTCAGTCCAACCGCGTCGGCAGCTTGGGGCCTCTCCCCCGGCGGCAGCGGCGGCCGCGCACCTTTCTGCTGCAGTGGAGCAGAGGCACCGAGGCGCCCGGGGAGTGGCTGACCCGGCGCCTCCCAAGGGGTCGCTGCTCTCCGCCCTCTACCCCAGGCAGGACGCGCTGCACGCTTGGATCAGCCCGCTAGGAGAGGCCGCTGAGGAAGGCTGCGAAATGGATCCTGTTGCGCTCACATTGCTCAGCCGCTGAAGCAGCGGGTCTGGGTTTGGGTCGGAGACACGTTTGCACCGGCCTGGGCTCTAATGCGTTGTAAGGCGCCAGCTTTTGGTGCATGGGCGTTTACTGTTTTAGGCCAGGGCTGATGGAGCAGAGGGCTAGGAGCTCTATCCCAGGCATTGCCTGTGAGAGATGTGTGACCTTGGGCACATCAGTTAGGGTTGGGGTAGGAAAAAACACCAACCCTATCTTTCACAGACTTCAATGGTAGTAAGGGTTTTGTAGGATCAGACTCTTGGACCCAGATCCTCAAAGGTATTTAGGTGCCTAACTCCCACTGACTTCAATGGAGGCTAGGTGCCTACATACCGTTGAAGATCTGGGCACTGCCCTCTCAATGCGTGTGGGTTTACTCATATGTAAAATGGGTGCGATAATGCTTACTACCATGGTAGCGTAAGGCTTGCCTGGACCAGGCAGGGCTGGTGCAAGGATGTTTCGCACCCTAGGCGAAACTTCCACCTTGCGCCCTCCCCGAGCCCTGCGGCAGCTCCCCACCCCCCTGCCCTGAGGCACCGCCCCCCCTGCAGTAGCTTCCCATCCACCCTGAGGCGCCCCCCTGCGGCAGCTCCCCACCCCCAGCCCGGGGAGCCGTGTGGCAGCTCCCCACCCCAGCTCACCTCTGCTCCACCTCCTCCCCGAAGATCCGGCCGCCGTGGTCACCGCCGAAGAAAATGCCGCCCCCCAAATGCTAGTGCCCTAGGCGACCGTCTAGGACACCTAATAGGTTGCACCGGCCCTGGGGAACCTTTTGGGAATTTTAAGAGCGCAACCAGGGAACCCTAAGGCAGAATTAAAAGGATGCTGCAATTTAGGCCCAAATGTTGCATTTCATTAGCAAAGGGTTTCAAAAAACCTAAGATGAGTGGGTTATAGAAGTGGTGTGATGTTCCCAGCTCCCCTGCTGTGTGACCTTGAGCAAGTCACTTCTCTCTGGGCCTCTGCTTTCCTTCCCTGCCTTCCTTTTTTAATGTATTGAGATTGGAAGTTCTTGATGGTAGGGACTACCTTTTACTATGGATTTGTAAATCACGTAGCACAATGGGGCCCAATCTTGGTTGAGGCCTCCAGGCTCTTCCATAATGCTAAGAATTAATAGAAATACCATGAAGTTATATCTATATTTCTGTTCCAACAGAAGCCTTTTTTGTGTTTGTTTGAACATAAAGATCCCTCTGCAGTTTTGCAGCCTAAGGGTCTGATCCTGCAGTACTTACTTAGGTAAAACTGTTAATGACTCCACCTGAAGTTTTGCCTGTGATTAGCCCTTAAATATTTCAGTGTGCTGCTAGTCAGTGCATGAGAACCAGAAAGCAAAAATGATTGGTCAACTATCCTTGTCCAAGATGAGTGAAATACAAGAACATCATAAGATGTGAAGAGTAAATTCAACTTTTTACATTCTAGAGATTTAAAATTTTACTTAGACAATCTCTGCCCCAAAATCTTACAATCTTTTTCTTCTGTTTGTACAGCACCTAGCCCAATGCAGCCTTCATCTCTGACTGGGGCGCCTAAGTGCTAATAATATATATAATTAAAGTTTGAATAATCTAAGGTGTCAATAATAAAGACAAGCAATTTTTGTTTGAAAACATAGGGGGTCTAAACCTGCACTATTTAATTCATTGGGAATTTTGTCATTTACATCATCGAGTACAGGATCAGATGCACACTTCTTAACATGATTTGTCCCCAAATGGATAAATCAAGTTAATAACATCTTTTTAGAAAAGGAGAATTCCTTCTCTGTTACTAATGACACTTTGGGATAACATGAGAAATTCAGCCATCACAGAGGGCCTACTTAAGACCCTGTACACTACTTAAAGCTATTCATTGCCATTCCAGAAGTGATAATTCACATAAAGCAGTGGTTCCCAAACTGGGGTTCGTGAACCCCTGGGGGTTCACGAAATGTTACAGGGGGTTCTCAGGGAAAAATTCCCTAATGGCGGACAGAGTTGTCCCTAGGGACCCCAGGCAGCATGGGGCCAGCAGCCCGGAGCCCCTAGACTTCCAAGAGCTAAGCAGATCAAAGCAAGCATATCTATCACACTGAGGAGACTTCACCTCCCTTTCCATTTCTTATAAGGAGTCTTCAAGGTTGATATTTTTTGCTGTTTTTAAAATTAAATAGGCAGCTAGTATTGTTTTTAAAATTATTATGAAGAACTCCAAAGGTAATAATAAAATGTTTTTTAAGTATATCAGAAGCAGGAAGCCTGCTAAACAACCAGTGGGGCCCCTTGATGATCGAGATACAAAAGGAGCGCTTAAAGACGATAAAGTCATTGTGGAGAAACTAAATGGATTCTTTGCTTCAGTCTTCACGGCTGAGGATGTTAGGGAGATTCCCAAACCTGAGCCGGCTTTTGTAGGTGACAAATCTGAGGAACTGTCACAGATTGAAGTGTCACTAGAGGAGGTTTTGGAATTAATTGATAAACTTAACATTAACAAGTCACCGGGACCAGATGGCATTCACCCAAGAGTTCTGAAAGAACTCAAATGTGAAGTTGCGGAACTATTAACTAAGGTTTGTAACCTGTCCTTTAAATTGGCTTCTGTACCCAGTGACTGGAAGTTAGCTAATGTAACACCAATATTTAAAAAGGGCTCTAGAGGTGATCCCGGCAATTACAGACCGGTAAGTCTAACATCGGTGCCGGGCAAATTAGTTGAAACAATAGTTAAGAATAAAATTGTCAGACACATAGAAAAACATAAACTGTTGAGCAATAGTCAACATGGTTTCTGTAAAGGGAAATCGTGTCTTACTAATCTATTAGAGTTCTTTGAAGGGGTCAACAAACATGTGGACAAGGGGGATCCAGTGGACATAGTGTACTTAGATTTCCAAAAAGCCTTTGACAAGGTCCCTCACCAAAGACTCTTAAGTAAAGTAAGTTGTCATGGGATAAAAGGGAAGGTCCTTTCATGGATTGAGAACTGGTTAAAAGACCGGGAACAAAGGGTAGGAATTAATGGTAAATTCTCAGAATGGAGAGGGGTAACTAGTGGTGTTCCCCAAGGGTCAGTCCTCGGACCAATCCTATTCAACTTATTTATAAATGATCTGGAGAAAGGGGTAAACAGTGAGGTGGCAAAGTTTGCAGATGATACTAAACTGCTCAAGATAGTTAAGACCAAAGCAGACTGTGATGAACTTCAAAAAGATCTCACAAAACTAAGTGATTGGGCAACAAAATGGCAAATGAAATTTAATATGGATAAATGTAAAGTAATGCACATTGGAAAAAATAACCCCAACTATACATACAATATAATGGGGGCTAATTTAGCTACAACAAGTCAGGAAAAAGATCTTGGAGTCATCGTGGATAGTTCTCTGAAGATGTCCGCGCAGTGCGCAGAGGCGGTCAAAAAAGCAAACAGGATATTAGGGATCATTAAAAAGGGGATAGAGAATAAGACTGAGAATATATTATTGCCCTTATATAAATCGATGGTACGCCCACATCTCGAATACTGCGTACAGATGTGGTCTCCTCATGTCAAAAAAGATATACTGGCACTAGAAAAGGTTCAGAAAAGGGCAACTAAAATGATTAGGGGTTTGGAATAGGTCCCATATGAGGAGAGATTAAAGAGGCTAGGACTCTTCAGCTTGGAAAAGAGGAGACTAAGGGGGGATATGATAGACATATACAAAATCATGAGTGATGTGGAGAAAGTGGATAAGGAAAAGTTATTTACTTATTCCCATAATACAAGAACTAGGGCTCACCAAATGAAATTAATAGGCAGCAGGTTTAAAACAAATACAAGGAAGTTCTTCTTCATGCAGCACACAGTCAACTTGTGGAACTCCTTACCTGAGGAGGTTGTGAAGGCTAGGACTATAACAGCGTTTAAAAGAGAACTGGATAAATTCATGGTGGTTAAGTCCATTAATGGCTATTAGCCAGGATGGGTAAGGAATGGTGTCCCTAGCCTCTGTTTGTCAGAGGATGGAGATGGATGGCAGGAGAGAGATCACTTGATCATTGCCTGTTGGTCCACTCCCTCTGGGCACCTGGCATTGGCCACTGTCG